GGCGTTCGCTTGTTACAACCATGACCATGTTTGTCTCGTCGCGTCGAGCGGCACCTTTTCGAAAATGTTTGACGCGTGTTTCAAAGCCTGAAAGCCAAATTTGAAATCATGACACTTGTTCAAATCCCTAATTTGAAACCTTAATCCGGACTCAAAACCCTAGCCCAAATTAGGAAATCCTAATTTGACACCCTACTCCCTGTTTGAAAGCCTCGCCCTTCTTTGAAAGACTAACCCTGTTTGAAAACCCAAATTTGAAGCCTTAACCTCAGTTCCATACCCAACTTTGAATCCGTAACCCTACCTTGTTTACAATCCCACTTCGACAGCCTAACCCTGGTGTCAAATCCTACTTTGAAACTCAAACCCCTAATTTGAAGCCTTAACCTGAGTTGAAAACCCGCCCGAAGCCAAGTTGTAAATCCTACTTTGAAACCCTAACCTTAGTTAGAAACCCTACTTCCCAACCTAAACCCTTGGTTTTAAACACTACTTGCAAAACCTAAGCCTAGTTTTAAAACCGACATTGAAACCGAAACCAAGGTTTGAAAGCCTACTTCCAGACACTAACGCTAGTTTAGAACCCGACCTTGAAATGTAACTGTCGTTCAAAACCCTAACTTACAAACCCGAAAACTGTTTTCATAACCTACTTCTGATCCCGAAGCCTAGTTTCGAACCCTTATTCCAAAGGCAAAGTCTGGTTTTAACCCTATTTTTAAACCTCACCTTAGCCTCGTTTAAAACCCGGTCTTGAAACCCCAACCCCGCTTTTAATACTGAGCTGAAAACCCTAACCTCTGTTGAAACCCTAACCCTACTTTTAAACCCTGTCCCATTTGAAACATAGCGTTGCACCCCACCCCTTGTTTGAAACCCTACTTTGAAAGCGCACTCCACGTTTGAAAAGTCGAATTTGAAACCCCGCCCCTTTCTTTGGAAACCGAAACCTTGTTTGAAACCCTACTTTGAAACTCTTAATGCCAACCTAGTTTGAAGCCCTACTCCTAGTTTGGAACCATATGTTGAAACTCAAAACCAAGTTTGTCGAAGCTCAAAACCCAAATGGAGTTAGCCCACTCTGGTTCCGGGCGGTGCCAAAGTTATTCTGGGCGGCAAAAGAAAAGCCCAAACTCTTTGTTCCAAAACAGGAGCCGTTTCCTCATTTTCTTGCCACAGCTCAAAAAAAAAAAAAAACGAAACGACGACCGCGAAGAACTCCCCGGGTAAGCAAACAAATGAGAAATTTTGCCGAGGTGGATTTCAAACATTCTCGCTTGAATGTCACACGGTTGCTTTCTTGCACCTCTGAAAGGTCACCGCAGCCAAACGGCCGCCGAGCATTGATTGACGCGCGGCGAGCCTCCCGCGGGCACACAAATCAAAACTCGCCGGCCATTTGATTCGCTCCCTGGCGCCGCGCGGGCCGCTCGCGCAACCGGCAAACCGAAAACAAGCCGTTCCGCTTGTGCTTGAGGTCACGTGGCGGAGCCCCGAGCGCCTCTGCGGGTCTTCGAGCTCCTCTTATACGGGAATAAAGTGAGGGGTTAAGAGCAGGGGGGAAAGGGATTAGGTTTAGGGTCAAGGTTAGAGGTTAAGATTAGGGCTAGTGTTAGTGGGTTAGTGTTGGGGTGTCGGATTAGAGGGGTTCAGGTTCGAGTTTCAGATTAGGGGGTTCTTTTTGGACCGAGCAGTTTCTGTGTTTTGCGCGAGTGTTTGCGCAACACGTCCTGCGGTTTGTATTGGCCTTCTTTCAGTTTTGAAGAGATCAACAAACATGTCCAAATGTTTGCTTTGGTGGCCCCAAACAAGTCAAGTCAAATCAAGTCGAGCCTTGAATCCACACAGGAGGTTCTTCGGGCTTGGCGGCGGACAAACATTCACCGCATCCCCTCATTTGAAGCCCCGGAAACGTGAGGGCGAGGACGTGACCCAAAGTCTTGATTGTTGCTTCTTTCGGCAAATTTCCGCGCGTCGACATTTGCCGGGAAAGCACATTGGCTCCGCTTCGCTTTTGCCGGGGTGTTTTTTTTTTTTTTTTTTGGTCTAGTAAAAGTAAACGAGACACTTTGCCATCAAGTCTACTGGTTTATTTTTTCCATTTCCATCTTTGCTTTTCGAAGACAAGCGCGTCAAGTAAGGTTTTTTTATTTTATTTTTTTATTTTAAAGGAACAGAAGAAGAACAAAAGAAGTCGTTGGGATGCTAAGTCATCAGCATAGAATAGAAAAAAAGGGAGCCTCATTCAATTGAGGCTCTGGGCTACAAAAATACATCCAGGTCGACTTTTATTTTCGAGCTTACAACACTCACACACACACGTGGCGCCGACATTCAACCCCCCCCCCCCCACTTGTTAGCAACATGTGTTGCAAAGTCTCTCTGCATCACCACGGTAACGGGTGGGCGGACGGGTGCGGATCCCGCTTCAGGGGCCAACGGAAGCCTCGATGGCACGACTTTTTAATCGGCGACGTTACCATTTGAAGTTTTCTTTTGTCACACGTCCCGCAAACAGAGCGAGCGGGAGATCGTCTCTGCCAAATCATCTCTGTCAGCAGACAGTTGATTAGGTACACAGGCGGCACGCAAAACCTCGCGAGAAGAAGCATTTTTCATTGACTGTCGTGTGCAGTCGCATTATTTTGCATGAACAAATGATAATTGAGTGTTTGATGATTTCTTTTTATTTGATGTATTCGGGCAATGGATACTTGAACCAATTGACGTGAATTCATCGACACAAACGATGCGTCCGATTTGATGAGCTTCTTTTAGGAGGAAAAAAAAACTGTTGCGAGAGTCCTCGTAAAATGGCTTGCTTTCCCCCCCCCCAAAGCGGCTTCACTCAAACGTCTTTCTTCATCGCCGCTTTTTCAAATCGACCTTTCAAAACACGCCCGATGCTTTCTTCTTCATTGATCTCATTCATTGTGTTCATTTCGTCATTGTACATCGTCAGATAAAAAATATGAGCAGAACAAACCATTTTAGCTTGACAACCTATTTCAAAACAATGAAAGAAGAGCTTCGTGAATTTATTCTAAATAAGTAACACATGAACACAAATAATCATACAAGAACGTAGCCATGAAATAATTGGCTAACCTGCGACAAATAAATTCATGTGAGATGACGGGAAAATGAACATGAATTCTTTCATTATTAAAATGAACTATTTCGCGCACGCATTTTCACTTTTTTTTTTTTTTAAATCTCTACAAGTGACCAGGGTCATCAGTCCATTAAAAAAAAAAAAAAAAATACAGGCACAGAATGTACATTTAAAAAAAAAATTGCTGAATAGACCAATAAATAAATCAATACAATGTCCACCTGAGGTCTCTGAAGCGACAATGTCAACGCGCAACCGTGGCACAGGAGGAGAACAGCAGCACAGGAAGCGGCAGCTCTCCATCCGCCATTACAGCACCGAAGTCGACCGCGCGCACGCACGCACGCGCAAATGGAAATGAGGACATGACGCCGGTGCAGCTGCAACGGAAGCGATGACGACGACGACGACGACTCCACCGTGCAAAAGGTCACCAAAGGCGTTTGAATCAAGGCGGCAAAGGATCCAGCGCATCATTCGACTCCAGTTGGTGCGCGCGTGTCGCCATGGAAACCAAATCAACCCCACTCCAAATTCATTTCACTGTTTTGTTTCCCGACAAAACCATTCAATGGCAAGTCTTCAACCGGAGGCCATGCGGTGGATGATTTGCTTTCCACCTCGTAACCAATCAACCAAACAATTAGCGGCGGACGGCGAGAAATCAGTGCAGTGGAACCTCGGATTTTGTTCGAGCTTGTGCTCATGATTTGCGATGAGCGAGCAGCGGCTCAGTGAACGAGCACAGCCTCGGTGGGCGCGTCCATTTTCCGCTTCCCAAAATGGCAGCTAGAACAACACCTGTAAGGGCAAGGCCGGCGGGTGGGGGGGCGCCAGCAGGGCCGCGTGGTGCTGACTCAGCACGGGGTGAAAATCCGTCGCCAGGGGATACGGGCCATCCAGGACATGGATGGCCGGCGAGGCCAAGAAAGATGGCGGCGCAGGATTTAGAGCCACGGGGTGGGGGGCGAAGGCCGGCAGCAGGTGCTGGTAAGACGGGAGCGGGAGGGGCGGGGCCACCACGGAGAGATGGTGCCGGATGACGGTGCGACGGAAGGAGAAGGACGAAGGCGGCGGCAGGAGGATGGGAGCCCCCAGCGGGAGGCACCCCGGGGGGAGGCCCAGCGGGAAACGGGGCCTCTTCCCCGGGGAGGCGGGTTCCGCCGACCCGCCCCGCTGACGTTTCCCACTCGCGCGCTCCTCGTTCGCCGACACCTTGTCCTTCGCGCGATGCGGAACGCCGTCGCTCGGAGGTGGTTCGGGGTCTGGAACGGGGGCATCCGCGGGGGGCGCGTCAATGAGTTCGGCGTGGGGAGAATCCGCTCTTTGGATGCGTCGATGACATCGACGGCAGTCGTCAGGCACGACGCGAACGGGACGAAATCGCTCTGTCGCGACATCAAGGCGGGATGGCGCGCTTGCTTCATGAGCATCCGGACGCTCGGTGGTCCTGTCGGGCGACGAGTGGCTCGCACCGGTCGCCTCGCTGCCGCGTCCGCGTTTGATGACGTCCTCGGCGGGCGCGTCCGCGGGTTTGCTGTCGACAGAATGGGCGGTCCCCTCGCTGCCGTGGTCATCGCGAGCGGCGTCTTCGGGAGGCGTGTCGACGACCGCGCCGTCGAGGGCGCCGTCCCGACGTGCAGAATCTGTCCCGCCAGGCGAGAAGTGGCTCGGACGCGTCCCGTCGCTGCTTCCTTCGCTCGTTTCCGTCGAGTCCAAAGTTCTCCTCCAACTGCTTCGTCTCGGTCCCGCTTTGCGTTTCTTCCCGGCAGCGCTTTGCGGACGCTCCGTCCACTTCCTCTTGTGGCCGCCTGTCACTTCCTGCGAAAGATTCCGGCAGGCGAGCGCCGCGCTCGGGTCGCCGGGCGTGCTTTGTGTCTTTTGCGCGTCACAGGAGCCAATCGGTCCCGCCGCCGCCGTTTGTCGGCGAGCGCACGCCGGGCCGCCAAAGGAAAACGGGACGGGGCTAATCGCCGCATCGATTTTGAGACGGCCCGCCGCGTCTCGGCGGGGGGACGAGACAACGCTAATGGCGGCCTCGCACGCGCTCGCCTCCTGAGCTTTTATCTCTGCGGGCTTCCCGCGGCCGTCATCTTCCGGGCCGCGCTCGCATCCGTCTCCATGTTTGCGGCCCGCCCCCGCCCCCGCGCCCGCACCCGCGCCGGCGGGGTGGGCCGTCATTTCGGGACAGCGTGGCGTCCGGGGAGCGGGGCTAATCGCGGCGTTGCATGCCGCGCCCCCGCAGAGGAGCTTTGTGAGCGCGGGACCCCACCCGGAGGATGATTGCGGGCCCGCGCCCGCGTTGGCCCGCTTCGAGCGATTACAGCGCTTTGCGGGAAGGCGACATAATAGCGCGTCGTTCCAGACGATCAATTCCGTCTCCTCCTCCCGCCGCGACCTTTTTTCGGGGCCTTCAAGCAAACGGCGTGCCGCCAGCTGACTTAATCGTCGCTTTTCCCGCCTCTCGTCTGTTGCGACGTCGTCCCTTTCCGGCCTCGCCATTTTGCCGAGACCGGTTCTTATCCCGCTGCCCCTTTGCCCTTTCCCGGTCGTCTCCTCTGCGCTTTTCCTTCTCCCCCTCTTCCTCACGCCTCCCCTCTTCTTCCTCCTCCTCCTCCTCCTCCTCCTCCTCAAGCCAGCGCGGGAAGATTTGGAAGCGTGGGCATGTGGCAATGCGGCGCCCGCTTTGCCTCG